TGAGGAAGTCTCAGGCGGGAGCGGGGGTCATGAGTAAATTGTGAGGAAGTCTCAAGCGGGAGCCGTTGTTGTTGTAATCCGGGGGGGCAACTACGCAGTTTGAGGATCAAGACTTTCCCTGTCAAAAAACAGGGTGCGAGCGTCGAGGGGCGCACTTTGACTGAGAAAAAACAGCATGCACCAGTGAGGGGGGATCAACGACACATATTCTTCAGAACTGAGAGCTCAACAACAATAGCAGCAGCAGCAGCAGCAGCAGCAGCAGCAGCAGCAGCAACAACAACAACAACAACAACAATTACTAGCACGTGGGGACACACCGTTCTCACCAGTGCCAGGGTTTTCATAGGAGGCGGGCAATACCCCCACTTTGTGGGGGGGCCGGTTCAAGCTCTACCAAATTTCCAAACGACTCTTCGCCACCACCCACACCCAGCTTCCCGCCCTATGACGTTCGGACACTTCACTTCGTGGCATGCGGACGACCGTGGCTACTATTCAGGGCCCCGCGGCCGACGACGACGGCGTGCGCGCGCGAAGAAAAAACGAATGTGTCCCGCATGGTATTATTTGACAGGGATGATGGCCCTGGCAGGTGCGCAACCGTTGTTGCAGAAGTTCGAAAAAGTTGCTCGCAAAAGCCCGTTTGACAGAAATGATTAAAAAGTGTTGGGTTTCCTACGAATCCGCAAGAGCGCGCGGGATGAAATTTTGGCACTTTTTTTGAAAAACCATTGTTTTTTTATGTTTTTATGTTAAAATCGTTACGAAAACTAAGGTTTTGGAAGGATTTCGTCTTGCGCGCGCGAATGTCCACTTTACCTTTTTTTTGCAAGGGATTCTTGAAGTTTGGTTATGTTAGAACAAGAAATGTCCACTTTAGCTTATTTTTTGCAAAGGAAAACCGATCGTAACAACACAACCGGATCCGGACCAACCCGTTTTGCCTTCCTCACGACAATGATGAAAATGAGGCTGCGGCCTAGGCGCGGCGGGGGGGTCGTGCACCAGGGGTCCCAACAATAATTATTCTTTAGAAGTAATAATGTTCAACAACAACAGCAACAACAACAACATATGCTCGAGTGTCTAATAACGCGTATTTCCAAAACCCTCGATACCCGTCCTCTTCGTGTTCGATCGAACCCCTTTTGGGGGGTATACCTTTCTTCCCTGCGGGCCGGGCCCCAGCAACCGGCGGGGCGGCCGCGGACCGTCGGCCCAGGGCCTGGCCACCGGCAGCGCTAATCGGCGGGGCGGCCGTGGACCGTCGACCCGACCCCAAGAGGGACGGACAGGGGACCGACCACGACGACGACGACGACGACGTCGAAGACGACGGCGACGACGACGACGTCGAAGACGACGGCGACGACGACGACGACGGCGACGACGAGCGAAAGCGAGAGCGAGAGAAAACGACACCAGGGCCACGAAGGGCACGAAGCAGGCCACGAAGGGCGACAGCGGGGACACGAAGGGAATGCGTATGGGGCCACGAAGAGCGCGAACGAGCGGGGGCCACGAAGTGCAGATAATGCGGGGCCACAGAAGGCAACTATGGGGCCACTAATGGTAGCAACTGGGCCACGAAGGACAGTGAGCGGGACACAAATGGCGACAGCGGGGCCACAAAGGGCATGCACATGGGGCCACAACGGGCGCGACTCCTGGGTGCCTGGGTGTCGGGAGCGCGGCGCTTGGGCAAATTGCAAGAAATCCAAACGCAAGACCATTCTTCAGTAATTTGCAAGCAAGTATCCAGCGAGAGCGCGACTCCAGAGCGCCGTGAGAGCGATTCTTGAATCAATTGTAAGGAAGTCCCAAGCGAGAGCGCGATTCCTGAATAAAATGCGAGAGGGTCTCGGGCGGGAGCGGGGGTCCTGGCTAAAAATGCAAGGAAGTCTCCGGCAGGAGCCGTTGTTGTTGTAACCCGGGGGCCAGGGGCCCAGTTTGAGCAGGAAGACTTTCCCTGTCAAGAAACAGGGTGCGAGCGTCGAGGGGCGCACTTCGATTCAGGAAAAAAACAGTAAGCACCGGTGGGGGATCAACAATAATTATTCTTCCGAAATGAGAATTCAACAACAACAACAACAACAACAACAACAACAACAACAACAACAACAACAACAACAACAACAACAACAACAACAACAACAACAACAACAACAACAATCATTATAAGACTGTTCGCTCTTACATGCCCGCGTGTCATTCAAAACGAATTCCCCACACCCTTGATGACCGCACTTTTTGTCTTCGATCACCCCCCCTTTGGGGTTTTTTTTTCTCTTTGCGGGGAGCGGCGGGCTTAGACAGGCGGGCAAATCTGAACGGGCGGACAATCCTTCGTGGGCGTACATTTGTCCGCGATTGGAATTGGCGTGGGCCCTGCAAAAAGGAGGGGGAAAACGAGGGAGAGTGGGAGGAAGGGATGGGGAGGGACGAAGGAAGAGGGAAAACGCCAGGAGAAAAAGAGCGAAGGGGGAGGCGGTTGATTAGAGGAAGAGGGAGAGAGAGAGAGAGAGAGAAAACAACAAAAACAAAAAAATACTATAAGAGAGGTAGAGAAAGAGAAAGAGAGAGGGGAGAAAGAGAAAGAGAGAGAGAGAGAGAAAGAAATAAAGAAAGAAATAAAGAGGGAGGGAGGAGGCAGGAGAGGGGAGGGAGAAGGGAGAGGAGGGAGAGGGGATAGGGGATAGGGCAGAGAGGCACCAGGATGAGGGAAGAGAGGAGGGAGAGAAAAGAGAGGAGAGGAGGGAGGAGGGAGGAGGGAGAGGGAGGAAGAACAGGAAGGTAAGAGCGTGAACGTTCGAGGAAGTCCTAGGCGAAAGCGCCATTCCTGAAGAAACTCTCGGGCGGGAGCCCACGACGGGCGGGCGATCCCCTGACGGGCGGGTCGGGCGGGTGGTACATTCAAGCGAGATGTCCGAGTATGGCGAGAGCGCGATTACTAAGTAAATTGTGACGGCGTCCTTGGCGCAGCGTGTTTCTTGAGCGTCGAAGCGCGATTTCTGAATAACTTGCATGGAAATCCTAGGGCAGAGCGCCATTGCTGAATACAATGTGAAGGGTTCTCTGGCGGGAGCGGGGGTCATGATTAAATTGCGAGGGAGTCTTGATTCAATCACGAGGAAGTTTCAAGCGGGAGCGCCGTTCTTGAGTAAATTGTGAGGAATCTCAGATGGGAGCGGGGGTCCTGACTAAATTGCGAGGAAGTCACAGGCGGGAGCACCGATCCCAACTAAATTGCAAGGAAATCGCAAGAACGGGGGTCCTGAATACATTTGAAAGTCTCAGGCGGGAGCCGTTGGTGTCGTAATCCGGGGGGGCCAGGGGCACAGTTTGAGTACCAAGATTTTCCCTGACAAAAAACAGGGTGCGAGCGTCGAGGGGCAGACTTCGATTCAGAAAAAAACAGTATGCACCAGTGAGGGGGGATCAACAATACTTATTCTTCAATAGTGGGAGCTCAACAACAACAACAACAACGACGACGACGTCAAAAACAACAACAACAACAGCAACACCAACAACAACAGGAACAAAACAACAACACCACCACCACCACCAACAACAACAACAACAACACTCACCACCAGCGCCACCAGCGCCACCACCACAGCAACAACAACACTACATACAACAACAACACCACCACCACCACCACCAACAACAACAACAACACCAACAACAACGACAGCATCAACAACACCAACAACACCAACAACAACACCAACACCAACAACGACAACGACAACGACGACGACGACGACAACAACAACGCAACAAGCAGAATTATCACCACAAATTCCTTGTTCAGCCACACACCCAGGGACAATGAATGACCGTTCGGCCCCCTCACTCTGATGTTTATGCAGTTTTGTACTCTTCGATAGCTCGAGCTGGGCAACGGCGCCGAGGGGCCGATTGGGCCTTTGGAAGCTGGCGGGGATGGCTGAAGGGGTGCGTACTCGCGCGGTGTGGCGGGGGCGGGTGGCGGAGCAGAGTCCTGCCCGATGGGTGCAGCGCGCTGGCGCGGCTGTCGGGACCAGGCTTCCTACTGCGGCGAGGGGGACACTAGAGAAACAAAAACTGAATGAACATCCGCCACCGTGCCTCTGGGCACGGAGTAGGCGTGTCCTCAAGTCCTTTGCCTAATCCAATCCTCCCGGGGCTTGGCGCCGCTTGTCGAGGGCTTCCCGAGTCTTATCGCTTGACTTGTTCGGAGCCAAGAGGGCTCGAAGACGGGCCAAGAGGGCCCCAAGAGGCCCCAAAAACGGTCCAAGAGGGCCCCGAGTCTCCGAACGATCGCCCAAAGATGACCCCAAGACGGTCCAATAGGCCTCCAAGACGACCCGAAAGGCCTCCAAAAAACCTCACATGAGGGCCCCACGAGGCCAACATCGTTGATTTGCCGTCGGTGTCTGAAAGATTTCAGCGTTCTCGCCTTTTTTGTCATCCTGACGCTCCAGGACAGGCGACAAGACCTCGTCAGGAGCCCCAAGATGACTCGAGACGGCCCCAAAACGGCCCAAGAAGGCCTCAAGACGGCCCAAGACCTCCAAAACGGCCCACGAGGCATCCGTGACGACTTCTAGAAGGGTCCCAGACGGGGAACGCGAATTGCCATGTCGAGCCCTGGGCCCCAAGAAGACACAGGAGGCGCCAAGAGGCCCACAAGCGGCCCCCAAGAGGCCACGGCGACAAAAATACAGAGCCCCTTACCTTCAGGGCGAATCTAAAGAATCGTCCCCTGGACCTCTCTCAGAGTGCGCTTGGGAAAGAAAATATCGAAGCAGACCAAGCAGCAGCGACGGGGAGCTTCCCCGAGGCCCAGAACGAATACAAGAACATACAGAGGCATCGAAACTCGATCCCATTCCTCCACGACCCCGTTCCTTCTCAATAGCGAGACGACGCGCGCGGAGGGCAAAATGCCACTGCCGCCGGCCGCGAGCCCGGGGCCCGCACCGGCCGGCGAGGGCCGAGCCCCCCGCCAGCTGCGCGGCGAGGCGATCGGCGAGAGAAGCCCGTCGTCCCCGTCGCGGGGCTCCTTGTGGGGTTGGGTCGCTGCCGAGACATCCGGCGCGGGCGGCCAATTCGTTGCATTTTTGGTGTGCCTCTTGTGGCCTGTTTCGGGCCGCCGGGGCCGTCTGGTACGGAAAGCGGGCCCTGGGGGAGAGGTCCGGGTCCGGGGGGGCCAACGCATCAAGCAAATCCACGCGCCGGATGTCTGGGTGGAACCAGCGGCTGTCCCCCTCCTTGCAACCTTGCTGGTGCGGGCACGCCCGTCACACACCGATACTCTGCACTCCCAACCTGGCCAGGGCCAGTTGGAGGAGCAGAAAGGCCAGCTCTTAGTAAATAGGAGAAAATTCGCCTGACGAAGGACCCAACCATATGCAGCTGCGAATGCCGCATTGTGGGCGCCGCTCTCGGTGGAGTTCCCTATGGGGCTGGGTGGGGCAGACGCATGCGAACGGTGCCATTAGGGCCTTCGGTGGAACTCCCTGTGGGGCCACGCAGCGCTGTCCTGGGCGGGGGGGACACATGCGAACGGCGCGCCATTGGGGCCTTCGGTGGAGCTCCCTGTGGGGCCACGAACCGTGTGAGGGGAGTGCCTACATGGGTGGCGTTGACGCATGCGGACCATGCCACTGGGGCCTTCGGTGGAGCTTCCTGTGGGGCCACGAAACGCTGTCCTGGGTGGCGATGACGCACGCGGCCTGTGCCACTGGAGCCTTCGGTGGAGCTCCCTTTGGGGCCACAAAACGCTCGCCTGGGTGGCGGTGACGCACGAGGACCCTGCCACTGGGGCCTTCGGTGGAGCACCCTGTGGGGCCGTCCTGGGTGGCGATGATGCACGCGGCCTGTGACACTGGAGCCATCGGTGGAGCTCCCTGTGGGGCCACTGAATGCTGTCCTGGGTGGCGGTGGCGCATGCGGCCTGTGCCTCTGGAGCCTTCGGTGGAGCTCCCTAGGGGGCACGAAGCGCTGTCCGGGGTGGCGGCGACGTACGCGGCCTGCGCCACAGGAGCCTTCGCTGGAGCTTCCCATGGGGCCACGAAGTCGTGTCCTGGGCGGCGGTGACGCATGGGGCCTGTGCCACTGGAGCCTTCGGTGGAGCTCCCTATGGGGCCACGAAACGCTTCCCTGGGTGGCGGTGACGCATGCGGCATGTGCCACCAGAGCGTTCGGTGGAGCTCCCTGTGGGGCCACGAAGCGCTGTCCTGGGCGGGTGAAACGCAGGGAAGTGACGAGGCGGATGGGAGGAGGGAGGAGGGGTATTCTACTCTATTCTATTATATCACCGGCGTGTGTACCTGCTGCAAGGCATGGGCACGCTTCACATCACACAAAGCTAGACCCCAGGGAATTTGCCACCAGATTTAGGTGGGAGGCCACGCTTCAGTCGAGACAAAACCTCCTTCCCAGCTTTCGTGGGGGGTTCACAACAATTCTTGAGGTCGCGTGGGACCTCTACACAGTGCCTCCCACAAACCTCGCAATATAGCACACCTCTGAAACAGGCAAGGTGGTGAGAGGGATGAACCAATTCAGCGCAAGGATGATCGAGAGCAGACTCCTCGCCCCAACCCCCCCCCCGACGGTGGGCCTAGATCATCGGGCGCACGGGCAGGGGCGCCTGCGGACGCAGCGCCTCGTGGAGAAGGGGAACGAGGTCGGAGCCGTTGAACACGTTGCTGCACAACAGCACGGGGCTTGCACGGGCTCGGCCAGAAATCCGAGAGTTGGCCTACACGCTGGAAGGACCGATGGCAGAGAGAGCACTTAAGGATAGACGGCCGAACAATCACAACGTGACCTTGAATGCTCAATCTATTACATCGCTCCTGGAGAGCAGAGATACACCTGGAACGTTCACGGGAGACCCTTTCAGGATGCTCACGCTGGGATTGAAACAAACATTCGCGCTGAAGCGATAACAGTCGGCTAAGTACAAGGCAAGCTTTCTCATCAGCAAGCAGGGTCCTCCTCGCAAGTCCCTCAGGAATCTCGCCAGCATCAGCGGCTTTACCCGCGAAACAATCAGCAGACTTATTCAAATAGAATTCTGTATCACTTAAAATCATATTCTGACATTGGGCCTGGGTGGGGTGTCCTTTAGCCCATCGAACGTCAATCGATCCGCCTCGGGCCGTCATCACATCATGAAATTGTGCCCACAAATCAAGCGAAGCAGATTTCCGTTTGGCCTTGAGGGTCTTGCGGGAGCCCTTAACGACAGACATGTTATCGCAGTACACACGAATAGCACCCATAGAACGCTTTGCAAGCTCGATCAGGGCAAACAGCTCAGCACGGCCAGCGCTCTGCACCTTAGTTGGCAGAGTACCACTGGCCACTCCCTCAAAAAGTCCATGGGCACCTAAATTGACAACAGCCCAGCCGCACCGCCGCAGGCGCCAATCTTTGTATTTGTTCCCCCCCAGCGCCGTCGATTCCCCAGACACCCCCATGCACTTTGGCCACATTCAAGAGGCAGCCCCATTCCCAAGACAAGGTATGGGGTGGGGGGAGGTGACCAACGGAATCAGACAAAGGGGGTAAACCTCTCAACCAGAACGCACTTCTGCCATGCTGGGAAAGGGTATCGGGCACGAGGTGGCTTGTTTTGTCAATCGAGCTGTCCAGCATATCAGCATTGCAAAGACAACCCCAGAAACGGTGCGCAGCTGCTTCAGACGCAGCGCCACGCCTAGGGAAGATGCCTCTGGAGTAGGACTCGTAGCCCGCCTGAGCGATGCGGTCCTCGGTCCAAAAGCCACCCGTTAAAACGTTCCGAAGCATGCCGGCAGCTTCGTGCGAGCTTTCTTTCTCAAGCTTCCTCAAAAACTTCCGAACCACAGTAAAATCAACTCCTCCTTCCAAACCTGATCCAAGGTAGTGGGCAGAGGCAGCGGGCCAGGAAATCTGGCCACATACACAGATGAGCGCCTGCCACAGAGCTTGAGGAAAATGACTACCAGTAATCCTCAGCTCGGCGCCGTCCTCCAGGCGCCAGTAAACGGGGCTGATCGGGGCAATCCTGAGATCCATCAGGACCGCAACAGTGGCTGCAATAGGGCCTCGAACTCGTTGCCAGCGATACTTGGCGCGACCGAAGACCTGAAAGATGGTTGCCCAAGTCTGAGCCACCTGCAACCGCATCTGGTGATTCAAATCATTCAAGACGTCTGAAAAAAAAAGCCATCAGCTGCTCATAGCGAAGCCTAAACCGGGGGTCATCCTTGGCAGGGCTCACGAGAGCCAAAACAGACGTGGCACAGGCGCCAGGGACCCAGCGACCAGAGCAAGTCGCAGCTTGCGCACGGACAGAACGAATTTGACCAGGAGTAAGGCCCAGAACCTGGTGGCCCCAGGTCCCCACAGCCAGCACTCCTGGCTTATGCAGTCTGCGGGCAATCCCGACGATTTTAATCAAAAACGAAACCTTTTTGTCCTTCTTGGAGGCCTGAGCACGTCGTTGTCTAAGCTTGGCAGTAAAACGTCTCTTACCTGCCGTAGTCATGACCCCCGAATCTCGGGCAGCTTCTGCAAGCTTGATGGGCAAACCAGTAGCCTGAAAACGTAACTGCAATTCGTTGCCAAGTTCATTGTGACTACAAACCAAAGTAGATTTATCAGAAGTAGTTCAATTAAGTTGTTGAAGTTCATGGGTGAGATACATAGCAGCTGGAACCAGGTGTTTCAAGATATCCTCGGGGGAGCCTTGCTGGGATTGGATCAAATCATCGACGTGCCCTTTGATGGCCACAGGTCGGAATTGCACGTGCGCGGTGTCAAGCAGACCGTAAATATAAATCTTGACCCAGCTCATTGACTGCATACAGCCGGCCAAGATACTGCAATCAGGCGCAATGATGTCGGACGCACAGCCGCCGACCTCCAGCGCCCTAGGGGCAACATGGACCAGGATACCTAAGTACGGAAGGTGAACAGGGTAATCCATTTTAAAAGCGAATCCAACCAGGCGGTGAGGGTCGATCGAATCAAAGAACCTTTTCAAATCCCAGTGGGCCCCCACAGAACACATGCCCCTTAACCTGGCGACCTCATGACCGACTTCACGTAGCATGGCCGCCTGCAGGGCACTAGAACCTTTCATAGTAGTGTCCCAAAAGTTGGACCGATCAGCAGTCCAGTCGTCCAGATGGTGATTACGAGCTTTGCAGTAGAACCTATACAAGGTAGGACATTTGCAAATAGGACGGTCACAATCAACGCTCTTGGGAAGCAGAGCGAGCACACCCAAACAAATCTGGGTGGGCCACATGAGGCCTTGTTCGCACTGGTTGAGGAGAGCAGTGGCCCCCAAAACAGCGCCCTTGGGCAAGTCCAAAAATCGACCGCGGGTGCCAATGGTCAACTCCAACAGCGGTGGTAGCAGGGTTGCATCGAGACGCACGGTGCACGTCGCTGACCTCCAGAGGGTCCAGCAATTGCACAGCCTCAAGGGCATGGGGCCTAAGGGAGTCCAAAACACCAGACAGGTTCTCGCGGGCCCCAGGGTCAAAGGTCCAGACGTCGCACCAGTATTGCCCACGATGCTGCATCAGGTCAGCTGGGAGCTGACGAATGTGAGTAGGGGTCGCGAGCACCTCAGGGGGCTCCCCAATATCATATGTTAACCAATCATGAACTCTCTTAGCACCTTTAGGCAGAGCGCGGAGGAGCCAATTCTTCATGTTGGCTCGCGACGTGGCCTTAGCTTCGCGCCAGGCAGAAACAAGAGCAGCAGAGGCGGCGGCCGATAGATCGCCCAGCGCACCAATCTGGGTGGGCGGGCTACTAAGCTGAGCCTGCCACCAGTCGATGCCTCGAACGTCGTCGGCCAACAAAAATGCAGAAATCTCATCAGCTAAGCCTCGGAGGACGCTAACTAAGGCAGTGGCCATGCACTTAGACTTGCGGGCGACGTAGAGGCGGCATTCCCACAACTTCTGAGAAAGATGAGCCCAGAAAGCCAAACCAGGAGACCGAAAGCTTTGTCCAATAGGGCCACGCCTCCTGATATTATTCTTCCGAAAAGTGGGGAAATCGCCTCCATGAGTATCAGGTAGATCATCAACAACAGCACAGGCACGGGAAGCACATGGCGCTCTCAGTAGCACGAGACCAGATCAGATACGCAGTAGAAATGTTCGTGGAGAGGTGGTCGGCCACGTGTGAAATCAAAGCACCCCCCAAAAATCCAGGGGCCCATGGCGGCCCAGGATCAGCAACACGCCCCAGAAGAACCTCCCATGGAAGATCAGGTCCAGGGCAAGCAATAAACGGAGGTGGGCGGCATCTCTGCCACATTTCTTGTTCCAGAGCCTCATGCTTGAGAGTGGCTGACAG